AGGGCAGGGAGCAAAGAATTGCGGCTGACCTGTAACTCAGTCAGACTGTGGGTTTTTTATTCCGTCAATGGCCATAAGGAAGGTGGTCTCAGGACAGACTGGGGAAAGACACTGGTGGCTTCTGATACCAAGTCACAGTTGGCAAGACCCTAGAGCTCTTGAGACCCCCAAAGGACTGGTACAATTCCCAGGAATTCCAAGTATTAGACTTTGTCTTGCACCCCCAAAACCCCATGCTCACATCTGGCATGAAGGCCACTCCACACACCTCTTTAGCTTTGTTGCTATCATGACATTGTTTGCTACCATTACCTTTGCAGTGGGTGGAGTGATGATTGGGATTTTCTCATCAAACCAGAATGATCAAGAGTTTAAAAAAGTAGCAGAATCTTAGGAGAAAGTGTCCCGCTCTTTCCAAAGCTGCCCACGATCAACTGAGAAAAGAACACTGTAATCAGATAGAGTACAAAAGACAAGTGATTGTACTTATTCCACAGAACACTGTGGATCTAGAAGAATCATTTCTGCACAAAGTAGGCTATGAAACCAGAGAGTTAATATGCTTCCCTTACATTTCAAAAGTTTTCCCTTACATATCAAAAGTCTTCCCTCACTTATTTCAAAAGTGAGGAATCCCATTTAGCCTCAAAACTGATATTCTAATACCCACAGATCAAAGTTTTCATGTTAATGTACTGAGATTTGCTTCTGAATAAGGAGAAATAAAGGATCATTAGATGTTCTTATTTCCACATATTCTTTCATAAGTCTGAAAGTTTGGGTTGAAATGTATAATAATTTACAGTAGCTTGACTCCTAGTTTATTTTTTTATAAAATTTATTTATTTAGGCACTTAAGAACTGGGGTATAGGCCAGAGGTATGGGGGAGGAGGTAAGTGGATTCACCAGAGACAGAGTGGGGAGCAGAAACAGGCAGATCAAGTGAAATGCACTGCTGAGGGGAGCAGTGGGTGGGTCAGGAGAGGTCTGCTAAGCCTTGTGCGTCAGCTCCTGTTGGGGGATCAAATTCATGCTGCAGTGGCTGCGGATCACTTCATAGTGCTGTGCTTTAACCCGTCACACCACCAGGGAGGGCCCTGACTCCTATAACTTAAATAAAAACAAGTCATTGGGTCCCCCTTACTGAATCAGCACCCCCAGCAGCAGGCTCCGGGAGTGCGCTTTCACATGTCGGCAGACCTGCCTCCGGCCTCCCAACTGCAGCACCAGGACATGGTTCTGCTCCCTCTTTGGCTCTTACTCCTTGTTTCAGGTTCATTCACTTAAAATCAGTCAATAGCCATTCAATCATGGTTTGGATGCATTGTTTTCTAAACATATACATCAAGACACAGGACAATTTAGCAAACAGATCATGAACTAGCTGGAGGCAGCTCCCCACCACCACTCCAAGCTGCAAGTTTGGAAAGAGAGGGTTCAGCAGCTGCCAGGCTCGGTGTCCTCACAGACATGTTGGGTGCCCTGCCCCTCTTCTCCAGCTCCCCTCTCCTCAGGCCCAGGTCTCTCACAGCCCACGGACAGCCCCTCAGTCAGGATGTGCCCCCACACCTTTTCCTTCCCCTGGGGATCCTCAGTCACCCCCACCAAACTGACCTTTCCTATAAGGACTTAGGTCAGTGGCACGGAAGCTCATGTGATTAAAATGTACTTTGGTAAACTATCAAATTAAAGTCATATTTTAAGCAAAAAATAAGTTCAGTGACAGACAGTTTTCTTTACCAAGTCTGGGGCTCCTGGAAAACCAGCATGTCACAGAACCCACGTCAGCCAGCACACAGGGAGATCAGACCCATCTCCAGCTGCCTTTCTTCCTACTCTTCCTCGTGAGTTTGGGGCAAACGCCCTCTTCCAGTCCTTGGAACACACTTTCCCTTAAGACACAGAGCACTGTCTTGGGACCTGGCATGGGCTTTGTCTCCGTCCAGATATTGTCAAGCGACATTGCTGTAGTTAACATTATTCTCTTTAACACCAGCTTCTTTCTGCTCCAGGGCCTTTGCATTTGGGGGATTCTTTCAAGTGGATGTGGCTACACATTTGTTTGGTTTCAACTCAAATGTCACTTCTTTCCCAGAGACAGCGCCTGACAAACCCAACAAAAACTGCACCACTCCCCACATCCTCCATACCCCCAGCCAGCACCCACCCCCACCCCACCCAGGCACCCTCGACACAGCAGTGCTTGGGTAGCTAACGTCACCTCTTAGGAGACCTGGGGTGTGTGAACATTTTCAACTGCCACAGACAAAGGGGCACACACTGTCCTCCAGCTGAAGAAACCTAGAGTGCTGCCAGACTCCACAGAGTGCCCAGGATGACTCCACAGCACCGAGTTATCCAGCCCCAAGTAACTGGGTGGAGAAGCCCAGCTCCACGCTGTAATGTGACTTCTTCAGCCTTCATCTGTGCTATAATGGGAGGTTTCGGATTTCTTCCTCCTATACTGGAGCTGTCCAGGCACTGGAGATGAGGGTGGTGTATGTTGCACCCCCAGCACCACACTTGATGGTCAAATTTTGTCCCATTTGCCCTTGTCCTGGGACTTCACTGATGGCTGTAGGTACCTGACCCAGACCAGCTGAAGAACCTATAGAAGATGAGTCAGTTGTCAAAATGAAACCAAAATTCTCTTATTAATGGCTGTTCATACAAAGAGACTGAGTCCTTCACATATTCGCAATCTTAGAATCAGTCTTCACCATCACCCAAGAAGGACCTGCTCTGAAGCTTCCTAAACAGATACAAAATATCCTAATTCTAACAGACCATCTCAATTACAAAGGTGTCATAAAACCCCAAGAGGAATTGTGTAGAACAGAATGACTCTCCTTCCTTTCCTCTACCCCACTCTAATTCTCAGTTATTGACAAATGTTTCTATAGTGTGAAATGATAGCCAAATTACCCAATATCAACTTTTCCTAAAAAGAAAGGATATTGAGACAAATAGCACATAAAGACAGAGGTTCAGGAATGCCACACCATTGAAATGATTTACTGAGAACTGATACTAGATCTGTTATAGCTACAAATGCTATAAAACAAAACCAACAAATCTGTATTTCTCTAGTGTTTTTCACTTTTCAGATTTCTCCCAAGTATCAATAATTCAAATTACCATTCTACATCAGTGTAGATGGAGAAATATTCTCTCCAACAGAGATGATTTTCCCTAATGCTACTCACTATTACTGATAAGAGTTAGGATTAGGATTAGAACTCAGATTTTATTCCTGACTCTGTACCTCCTACATTTCACCATGTTCCCACATGTTGTATCTCCAAATGCTACTAGAAGTGTCAGTAGTCAAAGCACATCAACATCTCCAGGAAGGAGATAGAAAACAGACCAAGCATCATAAATCCAAAGCCCCCACATTACAAAGCAGGTAACAGAGTGAGCAAACAAAGATGAGGGGAAGAGGAAATATGACCCCTTTAATAGATCCCTAGTTTCATAGGAATGCTGGAGAAGCCACAGATCTATTTTGCAAATTTAATCTCTACATTTATAAAAGTTGTCTCAAATTTAAAAGAAAACACTATAGCTGCCCACCCCCAAAAATTGAGACCAAATTAAGAGGTCCCATTTGAGAACCTGCTTATTTCATTTTTGTATTTGCCCACAGAACCTTTCTGTAGCATTTCCATTAATTTTCAAACTTGTATTTTCCCACAGAACCTTTCTGTAGAGGTACCATTAATTTCCTGGAACTCTGCTGAACAATGTCAAAAATGTTATAGAACACCCAGGCTGCCTGCCCTCCAGACCACTACAGTGAAGTAACTCTAAGCCCCCAGCAGGAGTTATTTCAGGATTTACTCAAATTGAAACTAGTACCCAGCTGTGTTAACCTTTCTTTAGAGAAATGTTTTTGATGACTAAAAATATCTCTACCTTTAGACTTTGTTAAACTCTCTTGGCAAAATCAAAACTTAAATTGTGAATAGTATTAAGGTTGATTCAATATGAAAAAGCCTTTGATCTTTCAAAACAAAACAAAAAAATCTTATGTGTTTGTGTTTAGAGACAGTTTAGAATCTGGATGAAAAGTAACATATCAAACATTATTTTAATACAAACTAAGTGTTTTAAGACAGAAAGCCTTTTGTATCTACTCCTGCCCTTTCTTTTATTCTTTTATATTATATCCTGTCTCATTCTAAAAATTAGACAGCCTGACTAATTTTTGTATACATAAGTGTGAGGAATTGGAGCGTAGATGTAGCGGAAAGAACATAAATGTGTTAAATCACATAGCAACTGATTTTCTCCCACCGGGGTCTACTTGGTCAACTGACTACTTGAGTTTTTCCAACAGCTAACATACCCCTCCTGGACCCAGGGAAAGTACTTAATGTCTCATATTGTCAGAGCCAGGAATAAGCCATCTCCACTGGTAAAAGTACATTCACCTCTATTTTTGCAGGGGAGTAAAAACCTCCACACTTTCATGATTTAGTAGGAACTAAAAAAATAATAATAATATTTGGAGCTACAAGATTAAAAGAAACAAAACAGCAGATAACAAGGAAATACTTCCAAGTAAAGTTAAGTTCCAAGTCAGATATGCTGATTTTAAGTCCTATCTTTAGTTCTTAAGAGCTTTGATAACTGGTTACAAGTTCTTTTCCCATCTCCCCAATTACTATTCTTGAAGGATCAAGGATTCTGGGGTATAAAGAGAAAATACAATCCTATCCTAGTGTTCATGTAAGGCTTGGGAGAGAGGTTGGCAACAACCAGAAAGATTGAGCCAGTATTAGTATAAAAAGTTAGAACTCTGTTACTAGTCAGGTGGCAGCTCACAGTTGAGCTCAACCTACTCAAGGTCACAGTCTATTGAGTCTAGCCATGCTGACCGCCATTGGAAACTGATACAGAAAAATGGTCCTGGCTTTTAAAAGGAGTCTGAAATGGAGACCTCTGCTTGTAGTTTTCTGTACTCAAAGACATGAAATCTGAGAACCACTGGGTCTCAATCCACAACATAAGGATTGTCTTCAACGAAGTAGACATTGTCTTCTGCTCGGGCACGCATTTCAGCTGCATTTTGCAAAGCTCCAATCGGAGGGCCGTTCACAAAAACCATGCTGCAGAGAGAATGACTAGAGTTAGGGAAACAGAGCACTTCTGAAGTTCCACAGAGCATTTGTTCTCAGGCAGGACAAAATATTTGTAATTCCTGGAGTCACTCAGCTTATGAAATGAATAGAAGCTTCCAGAGTTTCAATTATTTTGTTGTAAAAATGTCTGTTTAATACGTAGTTAGAAAACCCAAGTAGTAATCAGAACACACTGACTAGTCTCCTGCAAGAAATACGTGTCATGGAGGACAAACGGTGAAACTCTAAGGCAGACATCAGACATCCAACAAAGGAACTAAATCAAGGTCGGTTTCCATAACTAGATCAATATGCATTTCCTCAAAGGTGGCTAAGAGGGAATTTGGCTGATGTTTTTCCAACCATCAGAGAAGGTTATTCAATCTATATAGTGGTCCAATCCTATGCTTAAGATAAGCCTAGAATAGAAAATACTCAGCGCATACTGGACATAGTAAAATAGTATTGCTTCACCTAAATATATACTGGATAATGGTATCAAAAATCTTACTGTGTCTAAAGGTCAAAATGCAAAAGCCAGGATTTAGGTGAATTTTCTAACTTCATGCTCATGTCAAGTGTGCAGAAAGTTGTGAGGGTTTTGATACAGCCACTGTTTTATCATTTGTAAGTGGTGACTGTTTATATTACCTAAATCTGCCCAGAAATGACATGGGCCACAATGAGTCATTATTCCCCTCTGATCTTGAAATGAAACTGTCACATAGGTGTGAAAATAGTTTAAATGTTAATGAACTCAAAATTAGTCAGGTTTCATAAAGCTGCCCCCAAAGTGATATCATATGGAATGTTCATTTTGTTATGTCTTCCTTTGCTTTTGTATAACATTTTCTACAATAATTAGGTAATAAGTAGACCTTTTAGAAAATTAGCATTGAAAGGACGGAAAACAACTAAAAGGAGACTGATTATATTTCATGTCTTTCTGAAATGAGGAGTAATTTTTTTTTCCATTCTGGGAGCCACATTATCAAAAACTTGTACCAACATAGACTTGGGAATCTGAAAGACCTAAGATAGAGACTGTTACCTGCTGAATGGTGTGAACTTGGATGTCACTTAACATTCCCAAGCCTGTTTTCTGACCTGTTTTCTGACCAGTTTTCTAACAATAACACCCATCTATGGGATCAGTTGCTGTGAAGGGGGCGACTAAGCTCACAGAAGCCCTTCCATGCTTGCAATTGTTCTCTGCACACTCTGTAATTGGCTCATGGAAGTGACCAGGCACAACGAGACTGTGTGTGTACAAATATCAAATGGCAGAGAACTAGAACCATGGATGGCAGGATGGCTCTTGAATCCGAAAGACCTCGCTTAAAGTCCCACCTGAACCTAATGAAGAAGTTACTAGCATTTGGAAGGAAGGAGTAGTCTCCTATCATGTGTTTGAGCAGTGACCGAAGTGCCAGGATGCAAAGGAATTTAGCTTTAAGTTGGGTGGGTTTATAAAAACTATAAAGTCAATGTCTATGAGGCCAAATGACTAATGTAGAGTAGAGAAGGCTAGGACTGGAATAGGGGATAATGGAGAAAGTGGAGAACTAGAGGCTCTGGTCTCACTTCAGTGCCTTTCCATGTCTTCAGCCTGGAGTTGTCTTTATGGAAATGTGCAGAGCTCTTTTAACTCCTTCTGGCTCAAACATCCTGCTACCCTGGCCTATATTTCCCCCTGGTATTTTTCCAGAAGCACTAAAAGGACCCAGTTGATTTGCTTATAAGTTTTCTGTCTGTATTGTTTTATCTTTTGGAAATATAGTAGGCATTCAAAGAACATTCAATACGCAAAGCAAATGAAATCAAAGAAAAATCAACAGCTCAAAGATTCCAAACAAGAAGCTGATTTAGTTCTCTACTGGGATTGAAGTGGTCAGTAGTGGGTATGGTACAATATCTGGGAATTACAGAAAACTAAGGATTTCACCAGAAGGTGAAGTCAACAAGAAAGTGCTCTTTACACTAGGGTTTTCAAACAGATCTGAACAGACACTTCTCCAAAGAATACACATAGACAGCCAACAGGCTCATGAAAAATGTCCATCGCCACTTATGATCAGGAAATATAAATGAAAATCACACAAAGATACCACCTCATCATATCAGAAAGAACAGAAACAAGTGTTGATGAGGACGTGGAGAAAAAGGAAACTCAGATACTGTAGGTAGGAAGTAGACTGGTCCAGGTCCTTAGCAAATCAGGGAGATTTTTTAAAATATTAAAAATGGATCTACCATATGCTCCAGCAATACCACTCTTAGGTGTCTACCTGAGGAATATGAAAACACTAATTTGAAAAGATCTATGCATTCCTATGTTCATGGCAGGCCTATTTACAATAACCAAGATTTGGAAACCTAAGTGCCCTGAAACAAATGAGCAGACAAAGAAGATACAGTCTTTATTACATAACAGAATAATACACAACTGTAAAAAGATGAAATCTTACCATTTGTGAGAACATGGATGGAATAAATGAAAAGGAGAAGGATAAGTATGAAATGATTTCGCTCATATGTAGAATACAGAGTAAACAACAAAAAAAAATGAACAGACAAAAACAAAACCTAGGAACTGACTGCTGAGGTCAAGGGTTAGAGCTGAGGGAAGAGGGAGCAAAGGGAGTAGGATTATTGGTACTTTGATGGTGGGTGTGGTGTGGTGACATATATTTGAAGAGCTCTGAACCTAAACTAAAATTTCAAAAGTGATATAAGCCAACATTACGTCAATCATAAATTTTGTTTTAATTTAAAAATATGTATAGATATAAAAGCACCCTGGCATGCTTTAATGAATTGCTAGGTATATGCTAGATTTTTTCAGGCTATAGAGTAAAAGATGGAGAGTTCAGGAGGAAAAGAGAAAAGGAACAGGGAATTCTTTTTACCAGAGAAGGAGCATCCAAAAGCTTTGAGCACAAGCCTACCTGAGTTGCAGCAGCTTACTTCTCAGGCATAAATATTCTAAATTGGGGAGGAGGGGAAGAGAAAATAAACACGTCAGACAAAGACTTCCTGAGATCTCTTTCCAAACAAGCATATTATTGAAGCTATTATTGTAATATGAATAAAAACGGCACAGAACTCAGAGGCTGAAAAATAAATTTAGAAAGACTGTTAAGAAAAAAAATAAGGGGAAAGGAAAAACAGACTGGACCCATCCCTGGCTAAGTGCTTTGGAAGCTGAAGGACCTAAAATGTCCCTTGCAGTTAAGTGTCTCCTGTTCATTCATGGCTTAGGGTGACCACCCAGGCACTCTGGCTTGCTTTAATGAATTGCTAGTCATTCTGTTTCATTTTAAAAATAGGAGGCCTCTTACAGACACACCACGAACACCATACCACATACACACTCCATATCACGCCACACAGACCACACACACCCACAAGTACCTATATTCCATACATATCAAAGACACCACATCATCCACACAAAACGCACACACTACACACACACCCCATTATATGCACCGCACTACACCAATCACACATACCATACGTACCAAACGTACCACACAACACAAGCACACACATACACACCACACTACACACACAGAATGGCTGCCTTTCAGCACACTTTGTTCAGTCCAAGCCCTGACATAATCCCCAACCCCATGTCTCCTTTGTCTCTTCTGTTAAGAGGGTGTTAAGCTCACATCACCCCTGGGGAGCCAGAAAAGGGTAGAAGACAAGTATTCTCCATTACAAGAGTTTGTTGTCTTCCAAATCCCAACTCTACCTAATGAACTAGTTAGGATTCAGCTTCTCCTATGGAGAATTTAAATTTCATTTTAACTTTGAGAGGCCAATGATTTTAAGAAAAAAAGAACAAGGTTAAGAGCATGTGATGTTACATGAAACCCAATTCCCAAGGCCTATGGAGCTACTTGAACCCAAGCAGGTCCAGAACCCTTTCCTGCCCCCAGAGACATGGTCCTAAAGTGACTTACTTTTGGCAATCTTGACAAACAAAAGGATGAGCAATACCCCGACAATTATACTGACTCCAATGGTGATCACCTTAGTGGAGATTGTCCAGGAATTCCTTGCCGGCAATACCCACTGAGGAAAGATCAAAGTGTCAAAAAGCATCTTGTTAGTTATGGGTAAAACGTTTCCCAAAGAGCACACCCAGTTGCATTTGTCTTGACTGGCCATTGTCTGCTCCTGGACTGTGAAGCATAAGAAGGTGGCTAAGGATGTACTAGAGGGTAGAATCCTAAGATAAATTAAAATGCAAGATGCACTTTGGAATGGTGAAAATGCTTTTACATCTTGCTTGGGATGTGCTTGCAAAATGTATAGATGTGTCAAATCTCAAACTGTATACCTCAAGTGGGCACACTTCATTATATGAAAATTATACTTAATTTCAGATGTCAGTAAGTGACATGCTTAACAGACCCTCTTATGATATGAAAAGAGAAACAACATTTTGTTCATCTGTTAGTTGGTTTGGTGATATTGTCTGATGTTTTTGCAATATGCATTCAATGATTGAATCTGGGATTTGAACCCAGACCTTATTTTCACTGTTGTACAAGAGTCTAACTCTGATTATATAAATCACTGTGAAAGTGGCCATTCACTTGTAATCATGGCCCTGATTACAACAAACTTCCAACACCATGCAGCTTAACAAAAAGGAGACTGTTATTTGTTTGTTATTTAAATGTCCTAGGGCATCACCACTGCCTCCTAGAATGTGCTCGATATATGCCAGGCACCGTGCTTTGAGCGTTTCCATGATTTAGATCTAACCCTCAAGCATTCCCTCTGCAGGGGAGGTATTCAAACAGAGAGACAGTGGAAGATCAGAGAGAGGATCAAGGCTGTCCATGTGCATCCCTGGAGTTAGAAACACAACTCTTCTACCTAGTTGCTGTGTGACCTGGACAAGTTAGTTGACCTCTCTGAACCTCTGCTTCTGTGCCTGTCCTTTGCAGCTTAAATTAGGTGCTTAGGCAAGGCACACCCATTAATATTAGGAGGAAGAGGAAGAGGCTAACTTAGAATTATAATCATCCTAGTTTAAAGACTGAATGGCAAAGGTCTAGGAGGAAAAACTATTGTTAATCCCCTACCTACTTGAGTAAAGTGGCTAGAAGGAACACATGTTGAGGAAGCTGACCTTCTTTCACTTTTTATAACATTCTATGACATGAAAACTGTATGTTCATTTTGGAACCAGAAACTCAGCATAAATATTGAAAAACAAAAGTGAACCTTGACCCTAACATCCAAAAATAACCACTATGGCTGTTTTCCCTTACATACTTATCCAAAATTTTTTCCTTCTGATACTTGTCATAGTATATTAGTATATTCAAAATAGATAAACAGTATATATGCTATTTTAAAAGTTGTTTTTTTTTTTTTTACATTTAACACTCAACAGTAACTGTCTTTCTATGTCAGTGTACTGCAGTAGCTGTGTTCTGTGCAACCTGGGGGCTTCACAGATTGAGGAACCCCTGACTCTTGTTGGCAACAGTTCAGAACTAATGGCAGCAATGAGCTTTCTTTCTTATACATCTTCAGATCTTAATTCAACATTCTATCTAAGCCAGAGTCCAGGAAATTGACCTACGAGGTTGAAATACAAGCCAGTGTTTTTCAAGAATCCTGGAGGTAACTTGAAAAGCTCAGACTGAAGACACAAAAAGGCAGTGACTTCCCTCCTCCCTGTCCTAGACTCCTAAATTGCTTCTACTTACTGCTAAGACCTAGCTGCAGATAACTGCAGTCAAAAACAGCCTCCCTTTCCGAAGGGTTGGTGATTCTGTAAACACCATCATCCTAAAGTCTGGCTACACAGTGACATAGCCCTTGCATGGTGGCAGCAGTACACTCAATAGCCACCTGCAAAGAAAAGAAGAAGTAAAACTATCCTTATTTGCAGACGATATGTTAATTTATATGGAAAACCCTAAAAGCTCCACAGAGGAACCAATCAAAACCATCCACCAGTTTAGCAAGGTAGCAGGATATAAAATCAACACACAAAAGTCAGAGG